CTCCATTGTGCCCAACAAAGAGCAGACCGCCACAGTGACCTTCACCAACCCATTTTCTCACCCTGTGAGCGGAGTACTGACTGTAGCCGGGGCCGGGCTGATCCAGAGAAAGGCTCACTACAGGTATGAATCAAACTTCTTGTCTTCATCTTTCTCATGTGTGTGCTGACTGTTTAATGACCTCAGTGATTTATGAACATCATGAATAACTTTAAAACGAACAAGCTGTGGAATGCGCAAATATAGGAGTGTCAGTGTGTGTGACAGTGCACGACAGCACAGTGTGTCTCTGCAGAAGGAATGTAGTCTTGTTACACTTGTATTGTTCTGCTTATGTTTGTGTTTAGGCAGGCGTGGCTGGAATTATAGACAAAATGTTCCACTGCTGCGTGCATGCAGAGCTGATAAATATTTACAGACAGAGTTATTGAAGTAATTAAGACATTTACAGGGTTATAATTAAAGCTCAACTGTCACAAACAAACAAGGGCCAGTGTCAGGCATTCATGGTCAATGCATAGAAGTAGCACGTCAACATTTTATGAACTCTTTTATGTCTTCTCTGCAGGATGCTGTCACTGCGTCCAGGAGGAAAAGCAGAGCAACGCATCACTTTCACCCCCGCCAAGGTGGGAACAAAGATGCTGCAGGCCAGCCTGGCGCTCTCCAACATGAACTCCACCATCAGAGGCTTCAAGATGGTCTCTGTCAACAGTGCTTAGGGCCCTTTTTTGGGTTTTTATTTCGCTCAGGTGTCACATTTAGGCACAATACTGCTCAGCATTGTTTCGCTTCTTTATTTATGTTGTAAAAACTAAAAACTCACCCAACTGAAGCCAGAAGGTGGCAACCAGGTGGCAGCATTCATCGCAGGGGAAACACTTTGATAACTGTTTTTCTATTGCTTTGTATGGTATAAATGTGAATGTAAATGATATTTATTTATTTATTGAGATTTATTTTGCTGTTTGTGCTTCAGCTATTAAAATCTACGCTTTTTTACAAATATTTTACTTTGATTATTGTGCATTTTCCTTTGATCGAAAAATAAATATTGATAAAAAATGTTAATATCTACTGTTTATTACTTGAAAAAATATTGAGATACATTGAGGGATCATGCACAACGCCCCCTGGCCACCAAACCAGACTCACCATTGACATGTTATCTTATTTTCCCAAACAAAGTATAAAATAATGCAACACATGACAATACACAAACACGTGCATATACACACACACACATGTACACACAAATGTGAATTCAATCGGAGTATGTAGGGAAGAGAGAGGGGTTGGTTGGGACAGGGCAAAAGTTGGAACAGTTTGTTTTTAGCTGATTAGAGAGCAGCTACGCACGTGCGCCTCGCCATGCTCATACTCAGCCACACCCTCCTCACAGCTCCTTTGTCTTCTGCCTTACTGTTTTTAGTTATGCCACCGAAAGAAAAACAAAACACACAAAAAACATTTTTGGGAAGTTGATTGTCATTTTTTTTTTGTGTGATCTTTTTCTGTTGCTTTTTTAAGTGTCCAGATGTTGTTACAGACGTGACACAACAAATGTTTATATTTACATACACCAACACAACATACTCCTCCCCCATACTAAAACACACACCCATTTGCTCTCTCTCTTAAAATTCAAGTTTCGTTTAACACAGTCAGATCCAAAATCAGTACAAAATGTGACTTTAATAATAATCTATTTCACTGATACCTCTTACAAAAAAGGGACTTTCATCGTCAGACCTCTGGGATTTACCACTTTGTTTTCTTATAAGTATCCTGTCCTCAGTCCTCAGTTCACTTCTGTATGTATGTGTGAGTTAAGTGGGATTTATAGTTTTGCAGCAGACCCTATGCATGTCGTCTACGCTGTCGTGAGCATTTACACTTGCGTGGTGGTGTTGTCTGTGTCACTCTGCAGTTACACTTCCAAAACACTAGTTGATGGTGGGGTTTCTGTGAAGTTCTGTAAAGTTAAGTTGATTCAAAACACACATTAAACATGGCTTAATAGAGACAATTTCAAACACAAGTACACAAACCAGCTTCACTATAACTCGCAACTTTCACAGACAAAGCACTTGTCTTTATCTGGACACATTTTCCCCACAAATACAACATGCTAATGTTTTTAGCACAAGGCTATGGCATTTTACATTGTGTAAATTAGCCTAGCAGAGATTTCCTCTGCTCATATGAAGCCAGGATAAATCACACACAAGACTTAAAATGCTATTTTTTCTTATCTGTGAAATGAAAGTAAATAAAAGCTTTTGGTTTACAAAAATAGACAGGAGGAGGTCTGCGTGGCCGAGATGTGTAGTTACATTTCAGAGGTGGTGCATGTCAGGCTACAGCGTCAACATGGAGCCTACACCGTAACTACGGCGTCGATTCAATGCAGCAACAAATGTTTGAACTATGTTGTTAACTATCTGTGAAAATTATTTTCTCATAAACAGAAATCTCTAGGCTCACAACCCTCTTTCCATCTGTTTTTAATTGAATCTAACTCAATGTTGAGCTGCCTTGGTGTTTTGAGCAACAAAAAAAGTAACCCAATTTTTTTTTTTAGAATATTACAATTTTTTTTTTTTATTAAACCTCGGATGTTAAATTAACTGATGTGTTTTTGTTTGTTTTTGTTGTTGTTTTCTAATCTCCATTCCTACGGTCTCTATTATTTGGTCAACCTTCATTGCAATTTGTTTCAGCTCTCATGTATAACTGTGCAGCCCCTCCACTCACAAGGCCAAACTTTATGCTTACATTTGTATTTTTATTAATTACTTTAAACTTATCATATTGAAATCATCTTTGGTAAATGGAATAAACAACAACCAAACAAACAAAAAGATACATTTATTGGTTATATTTGCGTCACATCTGGGGACGTATGCTCATTGGTCTGGTGGTTGACCTCTGACCTACTCGTTTGATTTGTTGTCAGGATGTAAAGAGAAAGCGTGGTCACAGGTGAGCAAGACGGCGCATTTTTCACAGTGAGAGCAAGCTACTATCGGACTGAAATAATGGATATAAGAAAGTGGGAACCACAGGACACAGGGATGATGCTGACAAAAAATACAGCACCATATATTCAGAAATGGACCTCAGATTCAGGGAGCGCACCTCGGACACACACTTTACCTAGACACATTTCTGCTGGAGGTGACGTGAAGGCTGTGAAACACACTATGGACTTGTACTGACTGCTTTCAAACATGCTTTAACATCTGTAGCCTCCACAGCCATGTGTGGGAACTCATTCTCCACCCCGAGAAACATATGTTCGAACCACAGACGCATAATGCGCCACCAAAGAAAGGCCCGCTTGGTTCAGCTGGCGTGTGAAAGGGACTCAACCAGAAAGTGTACAGCTGAGTGGAAGGACAGTGTTCTCGCGAGGTTCAGCACCGACAGTCGCCGCTTGTAACTCTTCTAAAGGTAAGACATGCATTAAATTCATGTCATGGCGCCAGCCTTTGCTTTCATTAAAGGTCTGTCTAAATTCAGTCAGTGAGATCGGAGATTCATCGTTTGGTGTGTTGGTTGTTGATGGCAACTCATATTAAGAAGCATGTACATCATATAGGCCTATTGAGCTCTTGATCGGCAGCTAGGTGATAAGTGGTGATGTAGGCCACCTCCTCTGTGAGTGGACAGCTGAGTCTTGACCTGAGGAGATGGCTGTCCTGTGCTGTGCCATGTACTTGTGGGGTGGTTGTTTGGTTTCCCCAATGTACAAATGTGTGTATCCCTGGCTGCACTGAGCTGCATACACTACATTACTCTGCTTATACCTGGGTGTTTTGTCCGTAGGGTGGACAAGCTTTTGCTTCAGTGTGTTACTGGGTTTGAAGTTTATTTTATTTATTTATTTAACCTTTATTTAACCAAGCAGAGTCATTAAGAACGAGTTCTTATTTACAATGATGGCCTGACAGAGATGTGGTGTTTGTTGAAGATATTCCTGAGTTTTTGTTTTTCAGATACTCCCGCAACATTAGAGTGACAATGTCATTTTGTTATTGCTCCAAAACATGACCTGAGATCCTGAAGCCTACCCTCACTAGTCATCCCTACGTCAAGGCTGGTAACCAAAGGTGACCAGACTTTTGTCATCAGGGCCCAGAGGCTCTTTCTCTAAGGCTTGCTGGTACAATATTTTTATTTTAGTATTTTTAAATAGTTGCTTAAAATGTGTTGTTTTAGGAAAGCTTTTCCTTTTTTCACGGCCTGATTTTCAAATTTTGAGTCTTATTTCCTTTTGCTGTGTTTTTGCCTCTCTGCAAAGTTTTTGTTTTTCTTAGCTCTTCACATTGTTTACTCATTTTCCTTAACCGCTTATCCTGCTGGGAGTCATGGGAGGACTGGAGCCTATCCCCGCTGACATTGGGTGAGAGGCGGGGTACACCCTGGACAGGTCTCCATACTATCACAGGGCTGACACATAGAGACAGACAACCATTCACACTCACATTCACATCTATGGGCAATTTAGAGTCACCAGTTAACCTGCATGTCTTTGGACTGTGGGAGGAAGCTGGAGCACCTGGAGAAAAAACCCCACACTGACACGGAGAGAACATGCAAACTCCACAGAAGGGCTCCCCCACCCTGAATTTGAACCACAAACCCTCTTGCTGTGAGGCGACAATGCTAACCACTGCTTATTTTCATGTACTTTAAGTCACCTTGTTTAGATAAGTGCCACATTATTTCTTATGACTGTCATAAACAGTATGTATCTCTGTAGATTTGTTGTTGCAGTTCCTTTTCTGCCCTGAAGAGGGAGCCCTTTCCTCAAGAAAAAGGTCACTGTAGTTGAGTCTGAATGAAATGCTCCTCAAACCTCCTGATAATTACATGTAATCCACACAAGGAACATTTATTTATTTGTCATTCAATCCCTCTTGTTTCATACCCCTCAGGGTTTAGTAACTCTATGACATGACATGAAATGAAACTCGACTCACCTTTCCCAACGATGCAATTAATTTATTTTTTATTAATCTATTTCAACCGTCTGTCAAAACAAATCGACAATAAAGCATTATATACAAATCATAGCTAAGCTGACAGGCAGTGTAATCGGCACATGCACAACCATACCAGTTCATCTATATTACAAACAGGTTATTAGGAAAACAAGGACAAGAAAGAGAGAGAGTTAAAACACGACAACATATACAACCCAGAATCAAAAGTAAGGATTCAAGCACCAACCTATGATACAGCATCTTCAAGACAACAACGTTTTTACAAAAGCATTTTTAAGGGGATATTTTTATGTCGAGCTTCCAAACTGTCTATACCTCAATGTGCTGTGAATTTAACCAATAATAAATAGCTCACATTTTAATGGTAAAATAAAATCAGACTATTTTTAATAGCCTCTACCTATGAGGAGAATATTATCTGACATTTTTCTAACTGAAATATGAATAAAAAATATCTAAATTAAAATCTATTCCATGTAACATCATAATTTTGTATTCAAAAAAGTATCGGCCAGTTGAAAAAGGGGGTTTTAATCTCACAATAAGTAAAAAAAAAAAAAAAAAAAAAAAAAAGACACAGCAGAACAATCTGAGCTTTTCATCCATGCAGACACTGTGTTCAATAAACAGGATGTACAATTTTGCATCAGTGCATCACTTTTTTTCGTGTATTAAAGTGGGACACCTTTCATAAAGTTGAGATGAACTGAATTTAAAAAAACAGGACAAAGTTTTTTTTATTAGAAAAAAAGTATTTACAGTATTAACCATAGTTCCCTGGGGTTAGTCATGAAGCTTTGGTCCCTTATGTGTCTTTGGTCTTTTTATTTTGATCCAGCACTTTTGGCTTTGTGTTTATGTGTCATGGATATACTGCAGCCTCGCTTCGAAATCCTCATAGCTCCTTTGGCTTTAAAGTGAAATTGTCTGCCTGGGTGCTCATTAGGGATCAAATGCCGTGCGCCAAACCTCGAAACAGCAACACTGACTCTGAATCAGTCTCTAGCTGCACTCAGGAGCTCAGGAGCTTCTCGCGAGTTGGGCTGGTGGAGCAAAAGTGTGACAGCTGGCGCCCTCTAGAGGTAGTCCAGCTCCAGTGCATGGCTCAGGGCCTCAAGATCAGCCCGACAGGACACCCTCCAGAACGGCATGTTCTTCTGAGAAAACAAAAATAAAATCTAAATTATATGCAGGTTTAATGTAAACCATGCAAAGTTAAGGCAGACATACTTCGGCAACTTGCAGCGCCCCTGCAGATGCGGCACAGATGTGAATTATGGACTGTGGTTTGGAGGGGGATTATAGTTTGTGACAAAGTACATGTGGATAACATGTCAGCCTGTAATGTACAAAATCTTAATGCAAAAAAAAAAAAAAAAATTGCCTAAGTGCCAAATCTAGGGAGCGTCTGACATTTCAATGCAAAGATAAAAAAACAAAACCCAAACTCGGACACAGAAGCAGAAGAAATCGAGTGAGTTAACTGATTAGTTGAGGCCCATTTTTCGGCAGTCACAGTCATAAAAAAGAGATTGAGTTATACCTTCTTGGCCACGGACTCTTCTTCGGCTCCGTCTCCTATCACCACATACACTGCTCTCCGACCGAACCTCTGAGAGACGCGCTCGAAACAGCTCTCTTTGCCTTTGAAGAGCAAGAAAATCAAAGTTTGACATATTAAAATTGTACCTTTGAAGAAAGACTTTTAATCATTGATTAACCATGATTATCATTTTTACCCTGAACCCCTTCTCACCTGTCTTGGTGGCACTGTAAATGTTCTCTATGGGGAAAGCGGATCCCAGACCGTATAGTAACACCTTAGACAGGGCTGGGATGAGCTGAGTGGTGGTTACCAACACATTCACACAGTTAGGCCTGGAACAGGAGGACAGATACGTTAATACTACGGTAAAGTTATGACACCTTAAAGAGACAGTGCACCATGTAGTTCCATTATATTTAACAAAAGGCAGACGTCTCTAACACTCAGCACTGTCCCTTTAAATGACATATGCTATACCAGGAATTGACATGTATTCAACTCATAATGGGATATGGAGACAGATCATACTAAAACTAAATACTGTACAGCTATCTCCTAATGTTTATTGACTTGCTGGTGTAAATAAAGCCATGGCAGATGAACTGACCTCGAGTTGATGAGAGCCAGCGCTTTGAGTGCTTGAGTCAGCCACAGGTCAGTCAGGACCTCCATCTCTCTCCTCAGCTGTAACCACTCCTCTCGCTTGGGGCTGCCCAACAAACCTGCCCATCAGGGGAGAAGCACAAGCTTGATGGTCAGCCTTTGAAAACCAAACAATGAGGACATGATCCCGTATAGCTGCAATGCATAAAAAAATCTAATTTACTGAGACGTTGCAAAATCATATTTTGACAGCAGGACTGTCTGCAGTCTTTGGTTGGACGACTCTCACACAACATCCTCAAGCCAAAACCTCAGACATATGGTTTCCAGCAGAGGTAAAGCAGCCAGCTGTAATCAGCAGTGCACAAGGGTCCATAGTGAACAACAACTTCTGACTCATTATCCCAGTTGACAAACAAACCTGTCTCTTTCCTTTCAGGTTTTTCACCACATCATGGTTCAATTAATCTAATAGGTGGTATGTCAGTAATGGACCCTTTTTCTAACAAAGATTCCTCTTGGGAAAAGCAGGTGTTTATCATCATACGCTCGCAGCGTTTTCACCACTAATAGAAGTTTGGTCGATGCACAAACTGGAGCTTCAAAAATACATAATGTACTTTTCTGAAGCGGGACACTTATATAACTTGATCGCAGCAAAAACAAATAGAAAACCCAGACAAATCACTGTGGTCTGAAGCTGAGCTGTGTTCAGATTTAAGTCTAGCTTGTGGTCGAGCAGCAGGTAAATGTTTCAATGTGATTTCATCCCTACTAGTCATATTGAGATGTTTGGGCAGAAGCTATAGGGGCAGCCGTTCGCGTTGTATCTTTTCGCAGAATGGGTTGGCGGTAAGTCACAGCAGTGGAATTACATGACTAAGGGTGTTCTCACATACAGTCCTTTTTAAACAAACCGAACTCAGTCCTCCTCCACTCAGTGGACAAAAAAGTGGACCAACAGAAAAGGTATTCAATTCTTTTTGTGTTCACATTGTCAGTTCATTAGAAAGAGGTCTCAGTTCTCTTTGTGGTCCACTTCAGTTCTGATGGGGCCTCGGTTCTCTTTCTGTTCACACTATATATAATATATATTGACATAGTTTTGTTTTTACTTTGACGTGGCACTGCAGTGTGGTTATGAAGCCCCTCGCTTTCAGATGAACTTACAATTGGATTTAGGCAGCAAAACTGGACTATTTGTTGAGGGTTAGGAAAAGATCGTGGTTGATGTTTGTATTAACTCACTTGATGAACGACTGACTAACGACTCTCGTGACTAACTTAATGTTGACTTTTCGTTTGATCCATCCACCTCCCCTCCCGCCTGCTCCAAGCGGACTTATATGTGCTCTTTATATTACGTCCATTCATCTGACTGTCTAACAATGATGTGAACTGGTTTACATTGGAGTTGGTTGGTTCGTCTCATACAGATGCTAAGGGGTGTCACACCCTTGCTCAAGTGCCTAAGTGGTGTATTTTGACGCCCTAGGAGTGAGACCAGGCGCCTAGTGATATTAATCGCAACATTATCTTACTCATGTAACTTTATTAAACCTCATCTAAATATCTATGTCACCTCTATACAGCAGTGTTAAATAAAATGTGTTTAATAAAACAGGAGTGGCGCTTACCCCCAACATTATTCTTATATGTGTTGTAGATCTCCTTGACTCTGCGGTATCTGAAAGCCAGTTTCCTCATCCAGTCCACGCCTCCATGAACCCCTGACCCAAGGCACAGAGAGCCAGCCCCCGCTGGGCTCTGGAAGCCGTCCGACCCAAAGTTGTAAGTGCTGCAGGATCACAATACAGGAAACAGTCAGGATATAGATCATAAAGACACAGACTGCGTTTTTCCAGAGCATCTTAAAGTAGCACTATCATTGGTGTTTCGGGGGGGATGATTTAAGAACTGGTACAACTACGTTCATGAATACAGTTTCTAGCTCTATGGATTGATTCAAGCGATTCAGGTTATGAACGAGAAGGCAGTGCTTGAACCATTCATCAAATTTAGGGAGGTGTGCCAGTGCAACCACAAAAATTTCAGGGACAAGAAACTCTGTAAAATTGAAAATCACTTTTCAGCCGTGAATGAAAAAGCTTCGTCAGTAAGAAATCATGAAGTATATACATTCAGCACGGGTGGGATGAATATAAAAACATCTTTGAGAAATGAAAAGGGCCAAGTTCAATAAAATAAATACTTCAAAAAGTACTTTGGTACAGCCTGGCTCTTTTTCAGATCACTCCTAAAAGTATCCTAAAGTGCTTCAACAAGTTTATGCAATAAAACGTCTGGACTGAGGGAGACAGAGGGAATGATAAAGAGATATTTTGATGAGAAACGAAAGCGTTGGATAATCCTGTGACATACTATATGGCTGTGGAAGTCGGGAAAATAAAAGACATGCACATGCTTGCATGCATGAACACACACAGACGCGCACAAACTCTTCGTCTCATCTCCCCTGTTGTTTTTTTTTTCCTTCTGTGCACTAAAACCCAGAGGGCAAGTCTGGTTCACAAGCCACAGCAGAACTGTCAGCAGAGCTCTAAGTACAGTAACACAGTAGATGCTTTACCTCAGGTCCTGTCCGTTGTCGTCTGATGCCACGTCATCAATATGAACCTGGTCACATTCCTGGGAAATGAAAAGGAGAGTGGATATATCAAGAGATCCATTTCAGAGTGGATCCCTGTACAGGCAGGTCTCTGCTCTTTAGGCAAGCCTGCGGGAGTGATAGCAGCTACAGAAATATTTTAAAAAAGAGCTTAAATAAAAGACAAGAAAGGAGGAAATAAGGTATCGGGACATGGGACAGTGAGGCGCCTGAGATACAGGACAGTCAACATGGCGATCCTAGTGTAACCACGTAGTAAATTAAAGTAAATCTACATTTTTTTATAGCGCGTCCAACATTTTGGTTTAAAAAAAAAAAATACTCTGAAGAAAGGCCCATTGTTTTTGACGAGCACAGTGGTGTGCATGTTGTTCCTCTCTATTGGACGTTAATGCAACCGACCGAACCACAGGGATTCAAACCACACTGCAGCTTTATACATGTGGCTATGGCCAAAGCACCTTCAGCAATATGCAGTTAAATCAGATACTTGAAAACAGTTATTAAGATTGGATATGTAGGGCGAAAACAAAAACAAGATGGATAAATCCATCATCAGGGACCAGACGGAAATACAGAAGTATGTCTAACAATGACTGTCTCCTTAAAAAATCCTAAAACAAAATTATTTCTTTGTCTTTAGTCGAGCTTCAAGCCCACAGCCTTTTATCTTTCACATACACATTATACACAACCACAGTGCAAAACCCGAGTCCTTGTATAACTCTAGTTGTCACGCAGAGACCCGGGACAGACACGGTCTCCTATCACCTTTCAGCCATCTCAAAGCCAGACGGAGACGCTACCTCATCTTCCCTCCATCTCCACATAACTCAACTCCCTGGGGCTCTAACCCACCTCCCACTCAGGTGCCATCCGCCCCTGCAGAGCTGCTACCACTGACCATACAATACAGATGACCCAAATGATACAGAGCAGCTCTACTCGGTGTCTGCAGAGCGTTCGCTATTTAATCCACTTTCAAAGGTCTAGTAAATGGTAATGGCAATGGACTGCACTTGTATAGCACTTTTCTAATCTTCCGAGCACTCAAAGCACTTTTTTACACTACATGTCACATTCACCCATTCATACACACATTCACACACTTGTGGCCGAGGCTACAATACAAGGTGCCACCTGCTACTCAGTAACCATTCACTCGCATTCACACACTGATGGAAAAGCCATCGGGGGCAATTTGGTATCTTGTAGTATCTTGCCCATGGATACATCGACATGCGGGCTGGAGGATCGAACCGCGACAGCTGCCCGAAATTTTGTTGGAATTCAGTGGATATATTAGCACAAATGGGATATAAGTATGCTTTCTTTTGTGTACAATCACCTGAAAACAAGAATCATTGTGTTTTAATGACCTTAGAATGAGCCGTTTGCACGAAAGAGACATTCATGTTTTCACGTCAGTCACTGTAGTTAGCAGCTCCTCCACAACAAGCAGTCACAGAAAAACACAATTGTTACGTGAAACTACTTTATTCAGCGGCTTTACCGGTGTGTTTTAGAGATTAAAAGACCTATGTGGATCATTTGGCTCTCTGTAAAAACCTCCTGAACATCTGGATCAGAAATAAGGTGAGTACACATAAGTGGGTGCTGAAGTGTCGGAGAAACACTGATTTGTAACATCCATCCATTTTCGAACCGCTTATCCTCTTGAGGTTCGCTGGGCAGCTGGAGCCTATCCCAGCTGACACTGGGCGAGAGGCAGGGTACACCCTGGACAGGTCACCAGACTATCACAGGGCTGACACATAGAGACAGACAACCATTCACACTCACAGTCACACCTACGGACAATTTAGAGTCACCAATTAACCTGCATGTCTTTGGACTGTGGGAGGAAGCCGGAGTACCTGGAGAAAACCCACGCTGACACAGGGAGGATCTGTAACATGAAACTGCTTTATTCTGTTTTTTAAGCAGTTTGAATCACCTTTAACCCCTTTTGGCTTGGTTTGGTTTGGGTCGGGCAATCAGCACAGCAGGGATTTGCAATACCATTACAACAGGGCAACCTTCTTGAAGGTGTGTCTCAAACTGATGATGGTTTGTCTTGACTGATAACGTTTAAAAGCAGTGGACTGATCCACAGCTAAAGTCCCCTGTTATTTTTGTTGCATGTGTTTTTCCACAGCAGGGCAGGTAAAAGAAGTTTACCTGTTGGAGGTGAGCTGTTTGCAGAGGTGCAGTAAGAGCCTGTTGTCTCCAGCTCTTCATCAGCCTCTCACTGTGGCTCTTTCTGCTTTTACTCTTCCTCCCTGCCGTTTTATTAGACTTGCCTTTTATTGAAGAGAAGCTGCTAACAAAGTTCTGCTAATTCAGTGAAAATACTGAGAGCTGAACACACAGAGACTTTTAATAACGCCTTTCTCTCTGGTCTCCTGCAGACAGAAGTTAGGAGAGTCTTGCAACACACACGTTTGTATGGGGAGTAGAACGGGGGTTGTCGGGGGTTGGCTGCAGTCGGCAAGATGTCACCGCTACCTGCTTGAGGGCGGGTGGCCCGGCTTTTGGACCTACTCTGGAGAAGGTCAATTTCCGGCGCAGCTTGGCGTGGCATGCCGTGTCTAAACTGACAATGGAAACACATTGGGCGCAGCATAGCTTTAGAGCTTTGGAGATGAAGTGAAGGAATTCTGTGTAATGTTTGCAATCTGCAGTCCTCACCACTAGATGCCACTACATCCTTCACACTGCTCCTTTAAGAGCCAGAAATCAAGTGGAACACTACCATAGTAATTGATGTCTATCTTTTCTTCTTCTACATAGGAATATTTCAACTGGAAATTCTGACTTTGATTAACCAGGCGGTCTTGCAATTATGTGATCTTCTGGTGGTATTACAGTTATGACAGCAGCGATAACACTCATAGCCACTGATGTAGCTACTGACATGGGAAGGACAAGATAATTGAACCTCAAGACTTAACTGCAGTTGTCAGAGCGCTGCAGCCTACTGCTTTTGAGATTTACTGAGGCCTGACAACAAAAGAGGGGATAAGAACCGGGTTTGCAAATGGCTTTGTTGGCTCGTTTCCCTCCTCTTGACTGTTCCTCCTCCCATTTGACTAATTTTCCTCTTGGATGCTCCGACACACACCTATAATTACAGCACAAAGTGTACTTGTTCTCTCTCCCTCCGTCCCACTCTAATCTTCTTCTTTGTCAGAACAAGGCCAAGGAATTCAGGATGAAAAACACATGAACTTTTCAGTCACTAGCAGGTAGTAAAACTGCATTTTAATGACCACTTTGAGGTGTTTTTTTGAGGAGTCATCGTTTTAAGAGGTCGCATCAACGTCCACGTGAACTCTGGTGGATTTTTCAGCAGCAGGTTAGGTCTAAATGTAAGAGCACTTATGCCAGCCGTTAACAACCCCTCCTTTTAATATTCCTGCTCAAGAGAAGGAGGGCAAATTGTTTGGAAAATGCTGTAGTAAGAATTAATACAGGATAGAAGTTGTGTGAGGGGATTTCTACAATGACTACCACTGTGCTTTATGCCAGGTAAGAAAACAGCGCCCAAATGTCAAACCTCTTGCTACAGAAGGCTGTTGCAGGGAAGGTTTTCTGGTATGCCAGCTTATACTGTTGGATACGTCCTCACTGCTGCTATTTTCCATCTTACTGGAAATAAATCGAAGTTAAAAAAAAAGTTCAAAAAAGGAGTTGCAAAAGAACCAAGATGCAGAGTGCTGCGGTGGGAATATTAAATAAATGTAAGTAGTAAGGTTTTTGTGTAAAGTATGGCATAATGTCAAAGATATTGTGTTTAAACTATGATTGGAGCTGAAACTGTGACTATGTCCAGACAGGAGTACATGAGACACATCATAAATCCAAAAAAATCATGTTCCTGCTCCTAATGTTTCTAATGACATTTTCTAGAATCCACTGCGGGTCTCAGAAAACAACCAATCAGAGCCGAGCAGTCTCTAACGCAGCTGTTAGTCATGTCAATCAGAGGTGGGAGTAAGTCACACATGTGCAAGTCATAAGCAAGTCTCAAGTCACAACCTTCAAGTCTGAAGGTTGTGACTAAGTCACTGTGGTGAAAATCAAGCTACATAGTTACTTTACAAATTAAGATTTTGCACTCGAAACATATGAAAATACAAGTACAGCTGGAACTATGAGTCAATTACTGAATTGACAGAAAATACATTTGCGACTATTTTGTTAATCATATAAGTTGTTTTGTGATGCACGAACATTTCATAGCTCCAGCTTCACAAATATAAGAATTTTTACTTGTTGCTTTTGCTTTTAATTATTTGATAATTCTTATTAATAATTAATTTTATGTTGAGGTTTGAACTGTCTTGGGCTCTGGGTAAGTGTGACGCTATCTCTCACTAGTTCCCCCACCTCTGACATCAATAACTGCTCATGAACTGCGATCCAACAAAACATGAATCAGTTTCTGTTACTGCACTGCCTATTTCTCACCTCGGATGTTTTCAGAAACATTTTTAGTGCATTGTTTAGCTGTAAAATGAGAAAGTTTGCTCTGGCCAGTGTCTCATTTTGGCTCAACTGTTTTCAACATGGCAGCCGGGTCACAAGACCATTGTGAGACAGGTTAGTTTTACCCCACTGACGATGTGTTGTTGCAGTAGTAACATCTGAAGCGAGAAATGGGCATTGCATTAACAGAATCTTGATTCCTGCTTGGTTTGAATGCTGTTCGCGCGCTGTGATTGACATAATTGACAGCTGCATTAGAAACTCCTTGGCTCTGATTGGTTGTTATCATTCCTCTGTGGTGGATTCTTGCAGATGCCGTTAGAAAAACTACGAAGATGCAGAGGGACAGCAAATTTTTCACAGATTATCTGTCTCATGCACTACTGTCTGGAATTTTTAATTTATTTAACCAGGAAGTCCAATTGAGATTCTCTTTTAAAAGAAAGACCTGGCTGAGGTAGCAGCCAATCACAACACATTTAAAATGCAACAAATACAACATATAACACAAAAATCCACAATAAAACTATTCAAACATAGCAGCCTCTTAAGAAAAACAAGCACGTCTCTGTCACCACATTCTTTATGATGCCCTTAAATTCATCAGTGGATAAAAGTGTTTCTAACTCTAGATCTTTTTGGAGATTGTTCCATGACCAAGGTGCAGAGTAGGAGAATGCAGTTTTCCCCAGATCTGTTAAAACCCTGCGTACATTTAAAAAGCAACCACTCGGAGGAGTATAGCTGGTAACCAGAGCTGACACACAGAGGGGTGCATGGAGGAGGTTGCATGCATACACAATATGTCACCGTAATCAATCACGGACAGTAAGAAAGTAGACGTAGTGACAGTTTCATCAAACATGACAGACTTGTTTTTAAAAAGCAACAGCTAAAACTTTAGGAGAAAGGTTGATAAAACAAATCTTAATCCTGCAGTTTCCTAAATATGCTCCTGTCACACTTTTTTAATGTGACAATTATCACTCAAATTTAAGAACTCACCTCCAAGTCATTGAAGAAGAGCCTCGCGTCGGCCAGGTTAAAGATCATCTCCTCCATCCACAAACCAAGAGACACCGCCTTTGAGGAGTCCTGACACACACACACACACACACACACAACCCTTGAATTAAAAACTTGCTTTCAAAGCCACAGTTTCATTACAGGGTTAAACATTGTTGTGTACACTTGTGCATCTGTTAGTTAGACATAATCAAAATTTTCTTGAACCACAACTACAACATAATTTATTTCATCAATTAAATGTCTTAGCACTGATGTACTGTTCAATGTATTTGTGTCTTGAGGCATGTTCAGTTTATGTGTACTGTCGTAACAAATTTTCCCTCGGGCACAGGACAGATTTTTATCTCTCCATCAGTCACAAACATCTCAGCAAACTGAAATGAAAGAAAACTGGTCTGCAGACTACAGCTTGTGGTTTGACCTAGTTAATAAGAATGATGTCAGCACAACATCTCCCTCTAATGTCAGGGGCTGCACCCTTATTAATTAGTGAATGAATAATAAAACCCTGAGCTCGGGCTGAGATTGATGGCCTCAGAGGTCTGGTATTCAGAGAATAATCAGTAAAATTGGATTATTGAACATCATTACTCTTGTCGTGATTCTCGCCCTGTCAGTTCAGCCGCCTGCTTGTCTCTCTGAACAGCTTTTCTTTCACTTCCTCCGCAAACTCATCAACTGGATTGACATGAACAGGTTTCTGGGAGAGGCGAGAGTGAATATTTATCTGTCAATCAAACTCTCTGCCAATTCTTATCTTCACTAACTTTTTTCTGACTCATTTATTGGGGATTTCTTCACCAAGTGCACCAATTTTCATCATATCTCTCCACTGGATCTTTTTCCTGATTCATTAAATTATGCACAGACTCATTAAATTTAATTAATTTAATTCACTGCTGACTATTAAATTAAACCATTAGGAACACCAATTTCTTAACCTTATTAAACTTAAGGCTTCAGGCTTAACAAACCATATCAGTGTTCTTGCAGGTTTTGCTCCTACAAGTATTCTTTGCTGATGAATGTTTCTTTTTAAATTAGTTTATCACATAAAGATGATGTAACTAATGTAGCACCAAGGCTAAGAGTCTACAGACACGCTAGCAGAACAGCAGTGCTTTGAGCTAAACGCTAATATCAGCATGCTAGCATACTCACGATGACAGTGCTACTATGTTTAGCAAGACTAATGTTAACTATCGTGGTTTAGCTTGTTAGCATGCTAGCATTGTGAACTAGCACTAAACAGCTGAGGCTGACGGGAATATCATTAGTTTTGCAGGTATTTCAGCATTCAGCATTATATTAGGGCCATTGTAAAACGAAAAATAGCATAGAAATGATGATTAAATGGATAATTTGATGAGAAATAAACACAGATAAATGTGAGATTAAAGTGGTAAATGTAAGTCAACATTGTTTTCTTATTTAGATTTAATTGACCCATTATTTTCAGTTTTTAGAATGAATAAAGCTGCTGAATGCACACTGTGTTCAAACTGGATCAGACACAGGACTTTGATCCATTGTTTCAGCATTCAATCAAGACGTCTAGCCAAAATAGTTCCAAAATTAAAGATGTGCAGATGTCTGAGACGTGACCCGGCCATTAGCTGTACGTCCCTAGCAACGTCAAATTATGACATTGACATGAACAGGCCTATTGCCCTATATTGCTAAACTTTATGTACCCAGTGTGCATTCAGCAGCTATATACATCCCAAAAGCTGTAAATAATGAGTCAACTAAGAAAAACTAAACTACAACTAATAAAGCAACATTGACTCACACAGGACACAAACCCCTGGGCTCCTGGGTGAAAGCCCTGTGCTCATCTGCTATTACTTCCTTCCTAGATGGACTTTGTAGCCTTTTATACTAAGTCTCCTGACGTTCTGGCAGTAAATTTGTGAGTTTTTTTAACATTTATTTATTTATTTATTTTAGAATCTATCATTTTTCTTCTGAACAGAAAAACCGCACCAAATGGGATACATCATATGGCCATATAAATCTGTAAAAATAGGGCGCAAGGACTGGAGAGGTTACACATAATTAAGACAGAAGACAGTGCTATGAAAAACTGAGTAAAAGGCAATTAACAGTACTAAAAAAAATAAAAATAAATTGATTAAATAATCACTGAATAATAAGCCTAAAGGAGAGGCCTTTGTGTGCGGCCACAATACCCAATCAGGAGAACCAAACCCTGGCTGGCAGTAAGGTGATCGCCTCCCGTTCTGCCATAATAAGTTATCTCCCCAACATGAGGGATGTCTGGACTCTCTTAAATTTAAATTTATTGTAACTTTATTACTTTAATCTCAGACTTTTTCTCAAAATATTACCTGCCTACCACGACTCCATTTATTTTAAATTTCATATATTTATTTGTACCTATAATGACCTAATATGGCATTGTATAAGCCAAGTTTTGCACAATTTAAAGTTTTGACCTGATGATGGCACCAGATGAAAAGCAAAGGGACCACCAAAATGATTATAATTTTTCTTATGGGGGACGTAAATGTTTGTCATGTAAATCCTTCCAATAGTTTCTGTTTCAGTCCCGACCTAAGTTATAGACGGACCATCAGACGGGCATCCACAGCTGCTCACATGTCTAAAAATGAATGCAGACTTGATGTTCACTGTGATCGATGGACACAAGTCTAGCAAGTGTCGTGAATCTCCTTTCTGATTTTCTTGTCATAAATAAAAGGTCTGAATGAATGGCAATGACTGCCAATACATGAGAAAATCTAAAACACACCAGTGTTATTTAACTACCTAACTGCAGTGGATCTCTTTCTGTCATCACCTCACGCTACCCATCCTCTCCTCTCCTGTTCCTTTTATCCTGCGTTGGAAAACACCCAAACAAATACGCAGGTGTTACATTACATCAACTTCAGTTTTATTTCTTAATAAGATAACTGTAAATTATCACCCGCAGAAACACATAAATCATAATGTGCGGGCATTCAGGCTGACAGACAGCTTGGGTGTGTTGTTTTTCCAGACTACAAAAGCAGGTGTGTGTGTGTGTGTGCAGTGTATTGTTTTGATGGCAGCGTTGGCTCGTCTTTGGCAGCGAGACAGGAGAAGCAGAGGGGTGTCAGCCAAAGGTGAACGTTAGATTAGGGCGTCTGAAATGACAAGCGGAGCTGTCTTCTGGCAGAAACAGGCTTGATGACACAAGCGGGGTAATTGACGACAAATACAAGACAACCCCCCTCGGAAACAAAAAAGAAAAGGTGTGAATAGAAAAAGGTAATTGAGGACGCGGGGTGGAAAAGGTTCAGTAGGAGGAGTGGGAGGATGACAAGGAGAAAATGACGAGGGGGAGGATTGAGAAACGCTGGACAGAGGAGGAAGAGATGAATGGAAAAGGTGAAGAGGGAGGGGTTAAACGGCTTACAGGATTGTTCTGCTTGTCTAATAATTGGAATAATTATCTATAATCACCTTCCTCCAAAAAAAAACAAAACAAGGGCTGCTCTACACAAAGGTGCAAATAAAATCCTCTCTCTGATAATCCCAGGGAAGAATTTAAGAAGACAAAAGAAGGGAAAGACAAAAAAAACGTAAAATGTTCAGTTCCCACCTTTGCTCTCATGCAGGATGTTTGATATGGGAAACACACGAGAGGACAGAGGGGTGCTGTATGATAGATGAGATAATGGAAGAGCCGTTACAGGGGAGGGAATCAGCTCCTTATGTGGCTCTCCATTCACCTCTGGCTCGCCAAGCTGGTGAAAACAACTGTCTTTCAACACACCCATTAGTCTTTCCTGCACGCTGGGTTCAGACTTGCCTTTACTTATAGGTCCCAAACATTTGTTTATGATAAGAGTTTAATAGGCTGACCCTAATGGGAAGAGGCTGGGCTGTTAAACGTGGACAGAAAGCAGGACACAAAGTGGACATAATTTATGCCAGAAACAAATGTATTATAGTTGTCAGGGCAGGATGAGTTGGCTGCAAATTTAGTCGGGGAGAGAAAAAAAAGAAAAGGAGAATCTTGTAAGCCGTCTTGACGCTTTGGATTGTTAATCTGTTTTTCCGCTGTCACTCATTTAATTCCTCTGCTGCATGTCTGAGTTTTGATGTCAGAGTCTGTCCAACTGAGTTCCAGCAGCGGGGTGTTTGGGTGGTGGGAGTAATCAGGAATTTTTGGCACATGAGTCACATTTCAACACATCCACTCTTGCTCTCTCCGTCTCTCGTTGTCGTCCCCCC